GTCCTGCTGGTATCGTGTGAACACTCTGAATGATGCATTTAACAAATGACGTCTGTCTGAACGGTAATTTTGTTAAATTGCAGCAATGTGTTTTTCGACGTTTGAACAAATGCAAGGACATTCTACACTAACCTATCAGTACATTTTTATTTGCTTTCAGGCCATTTACAAATAGCGTACTTAAAACTGTCTGTGGTGTGATTGTGAGATAATTGTGGAACGAAAAATACATACTGTGTTATGTCCAGAAACATGAAACACACTGAAACTGGCATGATACTTGTTGGCCAATCATGTTTTCGTTTTGTTGGTGGTTTCTTTGTTGTTGTTATTTATGAATTACTAAAAAATGAAAAGGGTGTTTGTCCGGGTTGTAGCATTCAGTGCCAAAACTGAAGTCCGTCGTAGAAAACATCCGCATGGGTTTATGACGAGATACGCTCACACCTTCTCAAACATCTGGTATTATTTCATGGGCGGAACCAGGAATTTTAAAAAAGTGTGTGTGTGTGTGTGTGTGTGTGTGTGTGTGGTTTCGGGGTCAACGCAAAAAATATCTTCAATGTGGTCTTACGTCATTTTCAAAAGGGGGGTTCGTACCCCACCCCACCCCCCGGATCCGCCCATGTTATTTCATTACCACGTGCTTATGACACGTCTTTTAGTAGATTTCTTTTCAAACTGGCCATAGTTTTTGTTGCTTTAATTTATTGTCATTATATATCGTCAAGAACAGTGAGGGCAGTATTTAAGGAACGTCTTCATGGTCTTTGTGGAGCAGTGAAGCCTATTCTTCAACGTGATGATTGCCTATGTAGACTAAAGCTTAGTCTCTAAATATATATAATTTTGATAGTAACAAACAAGCCCATTTAAATTGAAAAGGAGCCCTAGGGAGACCAGAGATTCAGAACCTGAGGAAATCTAGACTTGCTTTATTTAGGGCTTTAGCACTGCAGAGAAGGCTTGGCAGTAGGGAAATTAATGTGGTTCAGGGACTGTGAGACAGACTAATTGCCTATGCTTCCTGGTTACGGCGTTACTCCACAGCGACAGCACCACAGACCACTCGAGCTTGGGTTCACATGCTAACCTTGCTGCCCTCTGTGACGTTAAATGATCGTAATATTTGTTCAGTGGTATCCCCGAAGAAAGAGCCAATTAGTCATTTGCGTCTACTGCCGAAGTGGAATGGTTGTACAGTTACAGATGGAACTCATAGTTGCAAATATAAATAAATAGGTAGATCATTCCTGTAATTTTGACATGCATTTTTCTGCAGTCTTTGGACGAGATAATAAAAGGTCCCTGCTTTAAACAACATGTCCGCTAGCGGCGGGATTGTGACCTGAATCTGTTATAATGTGGGAGAATCTGAGATTAACGTTAAAAAAGTAACATTGTCAAAGCGTGGATAAACTGAGGCAGGTTAAATACAGATAATAACTGACCCTGTCGCTCACAGATGGCCTGGAGATTATAGAGTTTCAAGGTTCCAAGAATGGCAGTGTGTAAAAGTACTGGACGCATGACGGCAGAGAAATGCATCAAATTTGAAACGTAAATCAAATCTCTCGGTTTGAGTTACGAAAGCATGAAAGAAACCTGTAACAGATTTGTATCACAGAATCGGAGTTGAACAATTAGCCTGTCGATGTCACCTGCAGTGAAGACGTTAAGCCTGCCAAATTACCGCTTCCTTCCTCAGTTGTCTCTACAACGTTAATCTCGCCGATCATAGCTCCACGCAGCGATGTAATGGCGAAGTTAATGGCGTCATAACCTATGGAGGCAGTGTTGGGTATCCTGCAGTGGGCCTTCAAATCTCGATACTAGTTGACTTTTTGTTTCCCAGGCTCACAAATCACAACTCAAGAAGTGCGTCGAGGTAAAACAAAGTTTCAAAGTTGATTACAGATTATAGCAAATATGTTTCCGCGTCGTTTACGGTCTGCTTGTATAGCAAGCAACCTCTGTAGCAACCTAACTAAAGTTACCTAGTTCCGGCCAGTTTCACTAGCGTAATAATATACTAGGCATTAGTAATTTAGTAAAATGCAGTTTTTATATTATCTTAAATTGTAACACGCCAGTTCAATAACAGAAGGCCCCTTAAGCCTCTGTTAGCTACATACATCGTCATAATCTTCATAAGAAGATTAATCAGGATGGATTATTATGGTGAATTATATAATCAACAATTCAATTTGGTGATGGAAACTAATTTAGAGAACAAAGGTGCGTCTGATATCGATTCTTGTGGAGTTGTATTGTAATGGAAGCCTGCTATTATTAATCCGTGGATGTCGCTAAGTTACTAACTATACTAATACCGAGACGAGTTCAGTACGCTGCAGTAAAAAACATGCTTTGATAATGAAACTGATTATGTTTTACCAAACAAGCCTCAATTGTTCATTGTAAGCCTACATGTTTTGACCGTGAGATACATGTGTTGTATCTAACCTTTGCCCCAAGTTTATGTGAGCTGGTGGTTTGCTGGTGTGGTGAATTAACCACAACGGTGGAGATAATTCACAGCACACGTAACAGCAATATTAAGATCTTATTACACGTATGTTAAATGAAGAAACATCGTGACGGCGGTAGCCGCGAGCACAGCTCTCCCGCCATACGTGCACAGTTACTCCTTCATCAAGCAGTTCAAGCACAACGAACTGTTCAACCTTCTTGGCTTCTGATGTAACGAAGTTATCCTACCGCAACCATGACCTTCGACGAGTAGCGTCTCAATACAAATTGTATACCTGTGTATAGTCGAACCTGTTTTACCGGACAAGTTCCCCTTTCGCTGAAAATCTCGGTCTTGTTAAATCCCAAACACCATTGGTATCCCTGTTATGAACACGAGGAAAAACATATCCTCAAAAGACGTTTAAGAAGACCCATAATATTTAATATTATGGTAGTCATGGAAGAGTGAGATCCTACTTTCTGATCATATGTACATGAGGTCGTAAGCTATTTATTTACCTCCTCTACACTTAACAGGTCGTATATCACTATTTCTCCGTACAGCCCCTCTCAACTATGAAGTTGTTCGTGGATCGTCTGCTATGACACATCACCACAATGTGTGCTGTAGATTGTAAACTGTCAACCTGTTCAGTCTCAGCCAGCATTGGTGCGGGTTTCATCCAACTGGTATTTAACAATAACACGCTAAACAGACAGTGGCAATTCGGCAGCATCACTTCATTCTGTAGCCAAGAATCGGTGTTTGCCTTGCCTCATTACGCCATCATGTTTAGCAAAACAGAGTATTTTCATTTTCAATTAATCATTACATGCGAGTTTTTCCTGTATTGACAACACGGGAGGTACCCCTCTTTCACTGGCCGGTTGATTTTCATTTACAGTACTTTCCTTGTACAACTGTCATCGTGAACAATGAAATACATCTGTAACTTCTGACACGAGGGCACTGAGTGGCTATGAGCGCCATCAGGAAGTACAACTACAATGATTATTATTTACGTTGTTCCGACTGTTTATCAAATACATCTCATAACGTGTATTCAGTCTCATTCCATACAGTCTCAAACTCTACGCATTGCTTTTTTATACATAGCGCCAAGTTAATAACGCTCACATCACACTGATCAACGTTCACATCTCGTTACTGAAGCATCTCGCTAATGAAGCATATTTATATCATGCGTGTTACTTTTCGTTACTTTTCGCCTAAATAGAATTATATCTATTTCATCTGTAACATAAAGTTAAACATGCCATCCGTTTGTGTTGCGCAATTTCAGACTGAACCATTTCTAAAACCAATTAAACTTCTGTTGTAAAACTAATGGACGCAATGCATTAGACTGAAACCTACGAACATATTCGCTATCTAACCATTCGGATTTACTGAAGAGGGAAAAGAAAAGGAAATCTCTAAGTATTTTTTAAGTCATAAATGTAGCGACATCGTACTTCTACACAAGTTCGTGATTGTATGCTAGCTCTCCTGCACTGTATAGAAGTACTGCTGAAAATATCTCTTGAAAAAAATCTGCATTTCAATCAGGTGATGTGACGGTTTCCGTAAAGCTACATATTCACTGTTATTGACTCTGTGTGTGACGTCACCCACACTCACCATTTCAGGAACCCAAGTTCATTGTACCACTTTCTGCCGCACGTGCATCATCACTGCACGAGCAAAATACATCAATACAGGTGTCCCATAAGACAATTAACTAGACGACAGAAGAATAATTAGGCTCGTGTTCCTTAATTGCGCGCTGCTACAGATAAATTGAGACTGCCTGTTGCTTCCCTCCGTCGTTCTCTGAAACGCTGTATCTGGAACCCTCATTGATTTTCCTAAGTCCGACTCTAAAGGTGCCCTCGCTGAATTAACGCCGATTTTCTTCCACTGCTGTCGGTTGCTGGATGACGATCAGTCCGTTGGTTGTTATTGGTGTCGTAGAAGGGAGGATCTTCCTGGTCTGGTGGAACTGTAGCGGTAGTGTCCGAGAGAGCGCTGGCCTACCAGCGAGCAGCGATAACAGCAACGAGCGACCGTGGGGAATGACAGACGCGCGTTAGAGTGTGGCTGTCTTCAATTGATCCCCGCCAAGGTGACACAATTTCCCTGTTACCGGTGAAGCTTATACGGGGGGGCTACGCGTGCTGGCTTGTTTACAATACTTCTTCAATATAATACATATGGTACCACCTTTGGGTCCACAAACGGTCACACTTACACGTCGGGCACCACTACACTGTCATCGTGTCGACCAGGCGGTCTTTCCATCGAACTGGACACCGTTTTATCGTCGGCTGATAGTTTCCGAGTGATTTTGGTGATTGTTCCTGGTACTTGCGTCCAGCCGCGAGGACGAAACCGACCTCAAATATCATATTTGCCGGGGTTTCATTGACGTCACGCCGCGGTGTCACGTGGTCTTGGAAGGGATCGGATTGGTGGATCGGCCGAATTTAGTGTTGACATCAGAGAGACATCGCCGTTCCCATGTTAACCAATATTGGTCTGTTTCTGTAATATTTCCACTCGCCTGGGTAATACAGTGTTGTGGCTAGTGTGGTTCTATAGTGACTTGGCTTGCTGACACAGGCGAATACAGCAGGAATGTGTAGCAAAAGAATCAGGCCCTGTAGTGTGCTGGCGCTCTATCTCTCAGGAACTGTACTAGACTTGGAGCTACAAGTGTGAGGTGCAATCTGACCTCTAGGGAGAGGGTGTACTTTATACCCAGTCAAGTCCGGACTGACTCATCTAACCCATGATAAGTGTTCTCAGTGCCCATTCATGTCGCCCTGTCTGGAGGAACAATGCTACACCGTATCTGAACCACAACTGTGTACACAGATACTAGTCCTCGGGGGGGGAGTCATACCTAAATATCATATAAATATTACCACGCCGCTATTCCGTGCCGCTACTTGACATATTGTGGATAAACGTATGTTGCGGAGAGGAGTACTCGGAACAGAACCAGAATGGTAGACACCCAAACAGTGTTGGAGACTGCTGACGGCGACTAAATCCACCTCTTCCGCATCGTTTCAGGAGGAGTGAGAAAGGTGATGGGGTGCACACCCAGTATTCATGTCTCACAGACTGGGGTAGTTTACTGTCGCGAGTCGGATGACTCTAACTCACCACGCCCATCCTACAGTGCCACAACCTACCACGCCGCTCACGGACAGATCATACGTACGGAGGTAACGGACACAAGCGTGTCTTCACCTTACACAGGATCGCCCTCGGGGAAACCCCTGAAGAAAATTCCTGTAAGTGTTTTTAGTTTGGAGGCCGTCAATACGGGGCACTGTCAAGGTATTTTGGTTTCATATTTACGCTGAACATGTTTCATGACGACTTTTATCAGCTGCACTCTGACGTAGGGTCCCATATTTTTTCATTATTACATTTCTTGACGGCACTTGATGGGAGAGGTTCGTTATACTATGTGTTTATCTATCTGCTTTGTATATTGCCTAATACCCAACTGAATGAATAGAACTTGTTCATTATGTTCAATAACAACGATTGTTTCCACTCAGAATATATGAGAAAGAATGAGTTAAATAACCATATATTACAGTTGTATTAAGCAACAGGTCTCACACAGCTGAGATATGTGTGTAATCTTAAAACGATACATTCAAATTGAACTGTCGCTGTTTATATCATGCCGAAATATAACAGTCAGTAAGACATGTGGTTCAAAAGACACGCTAACTCCACCACATGTTTTCATAGCGATATCGACACGTGCTTGTTTTTTGTTTTTTTGTAGTTAAACCAGTACTGATAAATCCAAGCATATGGCTTGCGGTTACAGAGCAGTTTAAGAGGCCTCCTTTGACACCGACCTGATATATCTCGTGTAACATAACACACGTTAACAGCGTGCTAGACGACAACTCGGCCAGTGCACTGAGTGGAATATACATCTTCTTGCTCTTCCATACAGCGTTATACGCCTTCTCGGACTGGACTGTAGGGTGAATTCGTCCATTTAGGACATTTCTGGGTGTTGAATGCAAGTATAGACGATTATGGGAATCTCATTTATCCACGGAATATACACCACGGTTATTCTTGATATCTCACAGATGGCTGATTGAGCTGAGCTGTCATTGTATGGTGCTGTACATAGTGAATAAGGGGGTTAAACCAGATAAACTTATGTAATTAACCGAAACAGCACACTAGAAAAGAATTACAATTTTTAACTTTAATCTGGATTCCTACTTGTAAGTCATGTCCGTGAAACTAATATTAATATTGTATGAAAATAACTGGCCGACGAGACCTCCTCTGTGCGAATACCTGCTTTACCTCTCTTTGACATGTACGCATACGAACAAAATGTACGCTTGTTTTATCTGATGTTCAACCTTTTTTCTCCTTTAGTTGTGCAAACATATCCTTTGATTATATTTTTCAATTTTTACACCGGATTGAAAGCCTTGTGCTTACGTGACCTTGGGGATCTACCACCATTACCGTGAGTCCGTGTTGTGTATGGCTGCATTTCCGGCCTCCGTCTCTGGCCCCGGGGTAGTAGCTTCCTGTCGTCACGGACAGACCCCTCAGTTCATTACCTTTAATTACACAGCTAAAACATAATGTCTGAAGCAACCCTCGTCACCGCGTTCCCATAGTGATTACCTGGTTGTCTGTGTGGAACTGTTGTAATCCTTTCACCTCGCCACAAACACACCCTTCCACCTTACATCCGTAACGTGTATGGCTGGCTTGTTTTGCTGATATACTTGTGTTGGTTGTGTCGAATCATTTCAACGTTCACCCATCCCCCATCTTATTGTGTCGGGGTGGGTGGTGGTGGGGTGGGTGTCGTAAGAAACGACTAACGGGAACGGGTGATCAGGATCGCTGACTGTCATCGTATTCCAGTTGCGTAAATCGATGCTCATGCTGTTGATCACTGGATGGTCTGGTCTAGACTCGATTATTTACAGACCGCCCCCATATAGCTGGAATATTACTGAGTGCGGCGTGAAACTAAACTCACTCACTCACCCACCCACATATTGAGTCGGAGATACGTCAGGGTGTGGTGCAGGCGCTTAGTCTTTTTATATGTCATATCACCCATTACACTCCCCAATCTCGGATCTACCCGGACAACAATCATTAATAACATTTCTGTTATTTACTTTTTTTGTCTTCGAAAAAGAACAAACAGTTCCACCGAAAGTAGACAAAACTTAGCCCTTACTGACAGGGATACAAAACGACCATTATATCAGGGATATCCGCGAAGTAAAAGCCAGCCAGTGGTTATTGCTTCACTAGTCCACACCTGTTTGACCAGAGCGATAATTGCGATAATTGCCGTATAAAAAAAACAGGCCCAAACAAAAGGGAGGAGTTCAATACCCACACCTGTGGACTTGTATGCGTTCTTGTGATGTAAGTGGTAGGTGGTAACGACAGACGCGCGCCGAGTTGATGAGGTGACTGTGGTTTAGCGGTACATGACATGATCGGTTGACTAAAGTGTTAATATAGTGTTTGTTGCTGCCAGCGCCACACAATGGCTTTGACTGTATGATTTGTGATGGGAGCTCTTGATCAAACAGATTGATGACACCACAGGGACCAGGCAGTTATACTTATGGTAAATCATATATTGTATATTGGATCCCTGACAATATGAGCTGTGGCATCCTGTCGACGGGTGATATTGGTGATAATGCGTACTGATTACAACCGCACGATCGGGTAATTTACCTGACAACACTCATGTTTTAGGCTTATATCATGTCGCAGGGTGGCGATAATCGCATATAACCAACAGCAAGATGTCAGTATGATAGGCGTTTCGTAACACGTTGAAATCAGATCCTTAGTGAAAAAATAATTTATTTCATTGATAAATAGGGAAGCGTATTGACCAAGCAGTTCAAATATTGAAGTATAGTAGATACTTCTGGAAAGGATGACCCTGCCTTTGACCAAGTTCGGTGGAATCGTGAATATCTGACGAGTTTTGACAAATTTAGCGTCGAAAAAAGTGGGGGTGAAAATCGACTACCTGTTAATACAGTGTATACACATTAATGATTTGGTTCTTATCAAAACAATGTCCCTCGACCAGTGTGACTAGGATTATGGAATGTAAATTGATTACTAGTTTTATATGTCATGCTTACAAGGCGTGACATGCGACTTATTAGTGCTACTTGTTGTGGACCAGGTTTTGCTGTAACATCCTGTAGGGAACCCAGTTCAGATAATGGCACAGAGAACATGCATGGAGGATGACGTCACACATGTAAACTCAGTAATAATACAGAACTGGTAGGCGATCTGGTATGCGCAGATCCGAGAAACGGTGCCAAGTGTACCAGCTCGGACCAAACACTCAAAACGGCAAGTGATGCTTAAATGTTTTTGGGGAGATTATTATACTTACCGTTTGGCGTGGGCATTAGCGACACGGCACCTTGCGAGCATTCTTCGATCATTTGGGCCTGTTCTCCTGTCCCTTTTCAGTAACGGGAGATCGGTACCATTATGGTATGCATATGTGCTGTACGTGACTAAATGCTTGTCAAAAACGAAGTAGACCCATGAATATTTTCCGAAGAAAGACAACAGTTTGCCATCTTTAACCCCTTCGGACACAAACAGCTGCATAATCAAAATTACCAGGTCACTAATAACAAAACTGAGCGGAAAGAATTGAGCCGGATATTTCGAGGAAATAGATCAAGTTTCCAAGTCCACCTTCAAGTATTGTCTTGTTATTGGCTATGACCTCGTTGCCAACTGAGCGGTAAATATGTATCCGTCCTTGGCGTCACAGAAGGACTGAAAGTGCTGCTTGAAAATCAATGTTCATTGTGTTTCCCCCAGTTGATCGTGGAAAAACTCGATCCGAATTACTTTTTGTCGTAAACAAATTATTTCGATGTAGTCTCATCTAGTCAGTGTGGTTTGTAGGGCGATGACGTGAATTCCGTCGAATATATCATAACCTCATAAATGAGAGGTTTAATGTCTCTTGGAAGACTCATATTGGATAGCGGGTGCTGGTATACGTGCGTGTGTGTGTGTGCAGGGACAGATGATGTGACGGGCAGGTGAGGAGAGGTTAGGGTAGGGTTGCTCTGTAGGTCGTTCGTTAATGGTTCTACAGTCGTGTCGCAAATGCTCAGTCTGCAAAATCTAATCATATGTTATCTAAGTTTTGTAATCAATTTTCAAACCAGAGACGTGATTCCCCACATACTTAGGTTATTCGGGGTTGGTTACTTGTCCCGGATGTAAGGTTTGCTGCGATGTTTGCTTCGGTATCTGATGTGAAGGATATAAAGCAATCAACCAACAGACAATATCTCCAACACGCTTATCTTCCCCTGACGTCCTTGAAACATTACGGCAGAAGGTCGCTTTGACTCTCTAACTGTTCTTTCTTTGGAATGGTTGGCCCACTATTCACAGAGTAACATCAAGGCATAGCAGTATCCCACGGTGGTGGGTCGGAATGCCATATTCTACAGATGATTTGTCATATCTACCATAGATCGAAGACTCGCATTACTGCCGCCTTCCTCATCCATTAGGCCAGCACGCAGTAATAATGGCCAAAGTGGCGTTGTACACAACTCACTCACTTTTCTCCTTTCATTCTCTCTTCGTCCGTCCATTCTCTTTCCCTCTCTGTCTACAACTAACCTCTCTTCCTCTTGCTCAGAAACTTCCTGTTTTAAATAGTCTCCGCCGTCACCTAACATCGTTTTTATCACGCGTGTGCTTCGACGTCAGCCCACTACACCCCCGCGAAGCACCCACACAGCTACAAATATACCATTGTGTGATAACTGGACCCATCTATCTCCATTCTGTACGCCAGCCATTTTCCCTTGGAACTGTCGGCCTGGCACAAGCACCTTTTTCTGATGAATTCGTGTTCTCCGTGTAAACATTAGAGTAAGACATTTTCAAATCATGATTAAGTGTACTGGCGGGGAGATAACGGAATGTCTTCCTTCTTAATACTAACTCCAACACATTTGCTTCGACTCTATTGTGAGTGCATTAATCAGCAGTTCTGTCGGCGTCGTTTGCTTTGTCCAGTTTGACATCTGTCTTAAATCAAGGTACGGGTACATGATATATGTGTGTGTCTGTACGTGTAAGTGGTTTACTTTGGGCTTACTGAACACAGTCAAAACATTGACTAATTTAATCGATATATGGGAGATCGAACCCAGCTCAGTCCCCTCGGGGACACACGTAAATCCTTTCCTGG